AAAAATGACTGCATACAAACTCACCTTGCAGCTTTCCAAACGCCACCAAAGAGCCCGTCAAAGTGATACCTCCAATGTAAGTACCCAAGTAGGCTACTGTTTTCATCAGTTGTACAGCTCCATAAGCTTCCGGATTTGCCAACATTTCGGGAGCTTCAATCATGTAGTTTGCAACGCAGGTGAGCACAGCTGCAGCTCCGACCAGGCTAAAGAAGAGGACATTCAATGATATGAAGCATAGTTAGTAACCTCGGTTTGCGAGAATGAGGATCAGAACCGGGCAATTGTTCCTGAGAAAATAAAACTAATGAGAATTTTTGCTTGTGAGAGTCCCTTTCGCCTACGGGGATGGGTGAGTGATGAATGACAGTTGATTCGGTTTGTGAAATTGCTTCAAAAGGCAATTCAGTGTTCTATTCGCGATTAGAAAGGAATGAAAGTGGCTTGTAACTGTCTCACCCGTCGACATTGTGCCCCACAGTTACCAGTACATGCTGTTCACTTATTAAGGTGGGCAAATTAATCCCAGGCACTTGGGGTGGCGAATCATATTAACTCTCAATAGGATAGACGTGATATTGCGTCAAACGACAGTGAAGCTGGCTACCAACAAATTCGGTTGGCGATGGAAGGGTTCGAATCTCGGACCTAGTGAATCAAACGGTTTGACCAAAACCGCCGCAAATGTTTAGATCTGTTCGTGTAATCGGGCAAGTGCGCTCGAACGGGTATTGTTGTGCGTTTTTGAAATTATGGTTTACTTCAAGCGTGAGACTAACCTGTGGAAAAGTGCCACCATTTGAGGGAGATCAGTAACCTCGATCTTCTTGGCTGCATAGCCGCCAATCATAGCACCGCCCATTAGACAAGCGGTCATCTGAGCCATGAGCTCCGGGTTGGGTTGCAGTAGACCCAGCGTGGCCACCAAACCGCTGGATACACCAATCATTCCAAGAACATTGCCTTAACGGTAGGAAATGAATAAACGCATGATAAATAAACAGTTGAAAAGTTACACAGTGAGTTTAAAAGAATTAAAATACTCTCAGACAGTGTGCGCAAAGGATGATGAAAGCAGAGAAAGAGCATTCGACATGACTGAGCAATGAAAATATGCACCCGGTGAACAAAAGGAGAGATCTCCGATCCGGAGAGTGAAATTTCTTCAAAGGTTCGTTATCCTGGGGAGACAGAACACAGTTTGAACATAATCTACTGTGTATGTGGAAGGCAATAATATACACAAAATCATTCTAGGTCGAATGATAAAAAATAACGAATACAGACTGCTATCACAACGTATGAATTAGGTTCCCCTGTCAAGGAGTTAATCGTCTGGGAGAAGTGAAAACGAGAGAACAGCATGTGCACCTTCGAAGTAGGCCGGTGAAATGCTTGCCAATATAATTGAAAAACATTAAGCAGTATTGTATCGTATTTATTCACCTATTAAACTGGTTTTATTAGTCTGGTAATAAAATGATTTATAGTGAGTGCATTTCCCTTATCTTCATCCGAATCCATCAATAAGTAGTGGTACATTGACAAACAAAACCCGGAATTCAACCACCACTGGAAGGTGTTCACAGGTTTATTTCATTTGGATAACATATTACTAGAATATCACTAAATTCCATACCAGTATTTAACAAACTCGTCACGAAATTCCATCAATCGATATTTCGTGATCAAACAAGTTTGTGCTGTCGATGGTTAGTTATTGTGAGCAGTGTTCGAAAGTTGGAAAATACGATGAGAAAAAAGACAACAATAACTGCACCTAAGCAGAGGTTTCAATAAGAAGACGAGGCGATTCACCGGACTACATCAAATTAAAAACTGAGAATACAGCGATAAACTATTTTATGAGTGCATTGATGCAAATAGCTACCGTTAGCACCAGTTTGGAATGGAATGTTCGTATGAAGCCAACGGCAGAGATGGCCTAATACAGAAAACGAGGTAGGGGTAACGACGAATACAGCAAATCAAATATCGGAATCGAATTATTCAATTTTGGTCAAGGTAATGTAAGTACCAGGAAGAAACTTCCGCGAAAAAAGTTATGCAGATAAGACAAGAATAAATACAATTTTCAAAATATTGAAGGTATACAGATACTTATCAAAAAGGAAACGAAGTGGGCTGCAGCCACTCACCGACTCGGCAGCTTTTTTGACTAGACAAAGCTGTGATTGCACCGATACAACAAAGTGAGGCGGCAAGATAAGTAGCCTGGTGCAAATCATCCGGGATCAAGTTTCCAGAGCTCAATACACCATAGCCGTAGGTGCCTAACAAGGCGGTAGCCGGGAGTGCATACAAGTAATTGTATTCAGGTGGATCTGTGGGTCGTTTGAACATATCGAGCATACGCTGAGTAACCACAAACCCGCCACCAATGTTGATTGCCGACAGCAAGGTGGCTGAAGCAGCCAAATATTGGGGCAATCCCGGAGGCAGATAACCTCCACCCATCAGTAGCAGACCACCGACAGCGGTGATTCCGGATACGGCATTCGTGACAGACATCAACGGGGAGTGGAGCGCAGGAGTCACACCCCATACGGTATGATAGCCTATTCAAAATGAAAGAGAAAAAACACAGGGGAAACGATTTGAAACACGACAAGAGTACCTAGTGCATGACTATTGTAACGATAGGCACGTTGCCGCCATTTCGGATTGAGTGTGAGTCGTGTGCATGTCTCACTGAATCTTTTGGTTCATGGTTGTTTTGTATTTTCCCTGTTTTGCAGGTTGTTTGGAAATCCCCCTTCCATGGAGAACCTGTCGTCCGAAGTGTCTCCTACCCGTGCATTGAGGGCGTCTGTACTGGGCCGCATTTACCACACCCCAAACAGGATTTCGTTAGCGGCATTCTGACAGCGCTATTGGCACCAGGAACTCGGATCGTGTTACCCGAACTCAACCTCCTGCCGTGTATTACGAATCGGTGACAGTGGTGGGCTAAGTCCTCCACGTTACAACTATTGCACAAATTGTACACACGTCAAAATTGAACCTGCATGCGCCTTCGTATTATGTAGAGCAGAATATATATCTAACCTAAAAGCAGACTAAATAAGACAACGAATGTAATTAGCTGAAAAGTCCCTAAGGTCACATTAATCCTTGTGTGCGTTTCAACCTGCTCGGCGGGCAAGCTAACTTCTTGTGAAATATGGCATGCACAAACCTCTCCAATGCAACCAACCAATGGCAGAAAGATCTGTGGGGTTTTCATTTAGGCTCAATTGAATTGTTAAGCTAGTACCAATCGATTGAATTACATTAATGTCCCGTCTTGTGTTGGAATTACAAACCAATAAACATGAGAAAAAACTCACCCACGATTCCGGCCAACCCGAAGGTAGTCAGCATATTGGTGAATGCGGGAGAAGGAGAGCCCAAACCAAGTCCGACCAGCCCGGAAAATCCTACTGCGGTTCCCAAAGTGGACCGCAATTTACTACGGAATAAAGTTTCAGGAGTTGGTGCAGCTGCGGTTACAACTGCGGGTTTGGCCGCGGCTGGTTTTGGTGGAGGTGGTGGAGGTTGTGGCGCTGGCGGAGGAGGCCAAATAAGCGTCCCCTGAAAAGAATAGGGATAGAAAAAACTTGTTTACAATGAATCCACAATGCTACGAAAAGTAAACCAGCCTGTAGTGCATAGAGTCTTGCCTATCTTCGGCTATTATAGCTGGATTCACTTGACAGCATCTCATTTTCCAAACTGATATTTCTTATAGGTATACACATTGTCAAGGGAATCGCTATAAAATGAAGACGTTCAAAATTCCTGCCTCCGAATGGTCGGAATGGCGTTTTTGGGTTGTGACTCGCCACATTTCTTTCACATTTTGCGAAGTGCACCTATACGACCAAGCGCGTCACATAGCCTACTCAGTGACTGCATGTGGAGGAGATATATCCTTACCATTACGAGAGGACAAAAAGCTAGCATCCCGCGCTACAACCGGGTCCGTGAACCAGCGGCATTTCATCTAGGGGGAGTATTCAAAACCTGACTTCAAACCAACCAAGAAGAGAAGTATAAGCCATACCGACACCTTTCTGGTTCTGGTAGCGACTAACGCCTTGATTGGTTATCGAATTGTGTACAGCAAATTGGACGATGGACTATATCCAAAGGGTGTGCAATTCGATGAGCTGAACACCGACTCCCAACAAATTACTCACAAACCTCCATCCTGTTACCTTGAAGATCTAACGTTTTAAATAAAGACTTCGAGTGGGGACGCCAAAGTTGACTTCACCCTCGACAACCAAGAAGTAACGTGTCATCGAAAGCTATAAACATCATATAGTGTGGCCATTCACCAACTTTTATATTACTCGTCTTTTATATATATAAATACATATATATATATATATATATATATATAAATATATATATATATATCTTATAATATCATCGTGCGGTATGAAGTGGATGAAATAAAACAAAATTTGTTTGGTGTTGATGAATATAACTTGTACTTGCGTATTCCGGTAGATTAAACAGAACACCCAATCGATTACAAAACATACCTCGTGTAAAACTAAACTGCCTCGAACAACTTCATCTTCCAGGTTTAAATAGAAATGATCTTTGTTTCCTGAAATGAAAAAGAAACACCTTAAACAGAAAGCCAAAAACACAGAGAAGACGTTTCGTTTTAACTTGAATGGGAATGTTTGGACGAGCCACAACGAGAAAAAACCAAAAATAACAGTTGGTCGGTCGGTGACATTTCGACTCCCCTGGAAGACGTTTTAAGTTCTATCTGAACCACCCTTAGTGTCATTTTTCTGAACGACCTACTCCTTCGTGTGGGAAAACCCATGAAGAGTCTTGGGTATACGATGATAAAAAGTAAATTTCCCAGCACCACTCAGTCGTCTGTTTACGAGGACGCACTTCAAATATTACTAGTAATTAAACGGCGACGGCGACTACCTAGTTTAATGGAGAGCCAGATGCACGACAGCTGTGAAGCTTTCGACTAACATTTTTGGATTTCAATTATTGAAAGATCAACTGTCAGAAACCTGTTAAGTTCTGAGACATTGCCACTGATTGTCCACGGTCGCCGATTTAATAAGGCAAAATCCACCTATACATGGTTCACCTTCTATGTGACCGTTCCATCCGCTACCTGGAGATGCATTCAATAGTGTATGGCTCCTCTAAACGTAGATATGCAACAGCCTACGATTTCCGAGATTTCGTGGTGCCCAAATCATGAAACTCCAACGTATCATCCCTTGAAATTGTGGGCATACTCAACGAAGATGTAATAGACATGCTAGAGGGGGGGGGGAGGTATTAACCTATGATTTGTTTCACGCAAACGTCATTTACACTGTCGAATACCCACCGTTGGTCGGAGTTTTAAATCACTTTCCTCGGCCGTAATTTAATCAATCCCTGACTGAATGCAATGTCAATCTGCAAGTTAATCAGCACATTCCTTTGAGTAACAACGTACTAATTAGCGTCACGTTCAATACCAACTCGTAAACTATCCATAATCATCGTATCGCATGGATACAAGTATAAGGGCACTTAGCATTTTCTGGCAAAACTGTTCACATGGTTATAATCGGGTTAGCTGCAGAGTCTGTCCGTAAACTGGGGTGAGTGGACCGATAAACACTGATTTCCTTTTTATATACCCCTTTGTGATGAACAACAAACGAGGTAAGCCCCATGGCCACGAGGACCGGATATTCAATTATGGAAACCGTCAGTGCAATCTCCGGGACTTGAAGCGGCGAACCATACAAGGCCCCACTAGATTGATTGTGGTATTGAGCCGGACGACAGCGAAGCTGTCTAGCACATACTTTGATATTTAGCTAGTTTATTGGTATTTTTACCATATATGTGATACTTACTTTACTTTACGTTGAGTGAATACCCACGAAATTTCTTGGGAGTTATGTACAGGAAACATCCCCAGTGTCACCCGGTTTTGGGTCGAGTTGGCATCTCTAACCTTTGCACATCCAAGTGCTAATTGCAAGGCAGCAGGAAGGTAGCGCATGGTTGACGGTGGCCCTCTGGGAGGAGCTCATACGCCAATGACAGTTGCTAGCTGACCAGGGATCCATGCATCCCTGGTGAGTACGGAGTCACTGTCTCGACCGCTGAGTTGTGAAACCGACTTTGTCAGCAAAACACGTAAATTAGACATCGACTCGCCGGAAGTTGAGCTCCCGGTTACCCTCAACCTGGTTTAGCCCGCCTGTCGAGCGGTTTACCGGGGTGTGGCCGCTGTTGCATCCAAACAGCTTCTGGGAGCCACA